GATAGATAGATAGATAGATAGATAGATAGATAGATAGATAGATAGATTCACATTAGTAGCTGTTTCTTTTGAGATGTAATTATATTTTTTTTACAAACACAGATGCCTGCCAATCCCGTGCTGCCCTCTCACACCTTCCCAATGGACACACAGAAATTCAAATGTATCCTTTTTTGACAGTGTACTAGTTGCTGTCTTTATTGGTCCCAAATCAGGATTCTTAACTTATCCTTTGAAGATATTGTCGACCCTTACAATGAAGGGCATTTTGGTAAGTAAATCGATGTGATTTACTTTTGGGGAAAAGGGAGTTTGCGTAAGAGTGTAAATAACCAGGTTTAAGCGGATAAGACTGCTTACTTATCTCAGTAAAAGTTCTGCCCGTTGTTATTTGATATACTGCACCGTTGCTGTGAACTCTCTGAGGCGTGCTGGGAGTTCTAAAGCTCAAGAGACCCAGTCCTGAAATGATTAATGTGCTCCCTTTACAGTATTACAGCCAAAAATTGCTACAGTACCACAGGTCGCTCTACTTTGTTTTTGACCTTTTTTTTTCATTGATCTTTCTTGACTCTGAATTCATGAACTTTAAATGAAAAAAATCGTTATGAATCTGTCTTTATAAATATTTCCATATCTTCACATATAAACTGCACAGTTCAGCTGCTTGTAGAAGCAGCCCTGATCAGTTATAACTTTGCCTGTAGGATGTTATCAATCTTTCACGTGTCTGCGAAGGAGTTCTGTCCCGCTCCTCTTTACAGTTTTGGCTTCTTTCAGTAAGGGTTGCAGGCAGAGCTGTCTTAAGGTCCGTCCACTTTTCAATCAGATGTCCTCACATTTGACTTGAGAAGTCTTCGGTGAACAGGGGAATTTCATGGTATACTCAGTGGCTGCATAGTCCAGGGGTCCTATGGCTGCAAAGCAAGTCCATATCTTCACATTACCAACACCTTGCCAGATGGATAGATAATGGATGGATAAGTGCCTCTTTAGTTCACAGCTGAATGCTCCACCTCAGCAAACTATCAAAACTTTTGCTTTTATAGCTCAAACTTGTTGATGACCAATTAATCATCAAATACAAAATGACAGGGCAGTTTGTCATGTGCCGCTGTTCATTTGAGGTTGCATTTAGCTAATTATATGAACAGGGAAGGACCCCGTGATTTTTGATTGATGTCTGTATGCATGTAACCTTAACAGGCGTAAAGTCTTTCTCATAGAACTGTTTGTCACTGTCTCTTTATGGCACAGGAGAGACCAGTCTGAGTGCTGTGATGAAGACTGTTTTGGACACCCACAGCCAACATCTTTGTCATCTGTGGGAGGGCTTCATGGGCAATAAAGGAACACCCAGGTTTGTGTGTTTTGCCTACAAAATACAAACTGCTTGTGTCATGTTAAAACATATCCGCAACTTCTATTATGCTAACATATCACCTCATTTGTGAAGTTTGTCTGATGTAGAACAAGTGCTGAGCAGATGCAGTGGCTTTATTTATCTGGGGATGGACAACTTCGTGGCCAACATTCCACCTTCCAAACTAGCAGCCCTCAATCTCTCTGGTACTGTACTATCACATCTAACATTCTCCTCCAATCACTTTAGTTTGATATTTGACAACTGGGACTACTCTGTTAAGATATCAGCAAAAAATAAGTCAGTTTGGGTCATCAGATCTCTAAAGTATCTGATATGTAGAAGGAATATATGAGCACTAGAAAAAAAAGTAGGTTTTGGTAGTTGGCACCAGTAAAACTGGTGAGGTGAGGTCAATGAGCAATTGCCATAACATTTGATGACTTTAATTAAGCTCCCAACCTTTTATATATTCTAAATGCCATAGGGCATAACTCAAACTTCTTCCATGAGTGGGGATCTGTAAATATGCACATCTCCACACTGCAAACTTCACTTGACAGGAAAGAGCATCCCAACTCTTGTAGGGCTGGCTTTGTATGAATTCTGGCCAAATTTGCAGCTGCAGCTTTTCCCATCGGCTGTGCTACAGTTTGAACCATAATGTGCATAACAATAGTCTCCATTGGAATGAATGGCTAGCAAGAGAGAAAGGAAGAAAAAAATATGGAAAATGTCCTTGTTAATCAGCATCCATTGTCACAGTCTAATATATAAATGACCGGATTTACATGGTCTTCGTTGCTATTATTGTGGACCGGCTTTTTGAGAGGAAATCAGAGGTGAGATCGCTCTTAGACCACCAAGTCTTCTCTTTACTGCAGTCAGCCAGAAATGGTGACTGCAGCAAGAAGCATCGGCCGGCTGTGTTGCGTGCAGACCCTTCCGTACCCAAGAAGAACTGTGATACCTGGGGCTGTTTTGAAAGTGCATTTTTCATTTGCCAGTAGGCGGCTCCGTGTTACAGTACGAGTGAAGGGTGACTGTAAGAGGAAGACTGTGATGCTCTATCAATGATGAATAAGCTCTGTTCCCCGTCTCTCGTTTTTCTTCCGTCAACAAAACACAGAGGACTATTTGACCCGACATCTTCAGAAAGAAACACAAAAAAGACATTTTCTGACCCGGCTGTTTGTTTTCGGTGTCTCTGGGATCATAGTTAGAACATACCATGCTGTTTCTGGATCAAAGTGTTGACGTATCTCTCTGAATAATGCCCTCTCTGAAAACCCACTTGGCTCACTCTCCACGAGTGTTGTGTAGGCGTCTCTTCAAACTTGCTAGAGTCCCACATCGACCTACCACAGCATCACCCTGCAAGGAGTCAGGATTGGTTGTTAGTGGTAGCTCCAAAGACCCAACACAGACCATTTCTGCCTGCGGGATTTCACTTCTTTGAGGCTTGAATTAAGGCTCTGCAGATTCGGAACATCCTCAGCCATTGTGTTGTCAGTTGATTTTTTTTTTTTAAACACCTCGTAAAAATGTAAAGAAGGTTCAATTTTTTTTTTTTTGTGGATCTCTTTTTTTTCTCCTTTGACATTTTATATTGCGTTTTTTTTTTTTATTATGCGTATTAGTACTATTGTCCAAAAGTCTTACAATATATCTGATCTTCTGTTACAAGTCTTGGAAGATTTGCTTAATGATTTCAACCCAGTCTGGGATGTATTAAATGAAAAAGAATTAGTTGGAAAATGACTTATTTCCCTCTTTGAAGCAAAGCTGGAGTAATTTACTCAGGGTTAGAAGAGAAAAAGAAACCAGACTTTAGCTCTATTCTCAGTTATTATAAAAGTCCTTTTGCTATTTAGTACCCTTTGAATAAATTAGACCCTTCCTCTTCCTTCTCCAAAAAGAAAAATATATTCTTATCATTTGGTTGAAGAGATGTGAAAAATAAACTTAGCCTGTCTTAATGTCTGCTTTAATTTCTCTCACCAGCAAACAAATGTAGTCCGTGAGAGAGAGAGCACTTTGATCCAGTGTGATTGGCAGTGTGAGGTCAGCCTCATGTTGCCTCAGGACAGACATATGTGCCACACGGTAGTCTGATGTTAGCGCTGCTAACTATAGCATGACTGGCACCACGGACTGCTTTTTTCCCCGCTGGAAAAACAGAGTTCTTCCTGCTTATTTGGCTGTCAAGAGATGATTAGGTGATGGCAGATGCGTGTTTCTTAGAAAATATTTCTGTCACACTGTGAGGGGCAGGCTGTGCACCACCTGCACTCATATTATCATATCAGAGCGATTTCACAGGTAGGAAAGAAGACTAATTACCGGCAACGCTCAAAGATATACAATCTGGAGATACGCTCCCCTAATAGTGGGAATTTACACACTCAGGACAAACGCATTAAATCCATAATTTCTTATAATGAAGACAAAGCAACAATGGGAAAAAGAAAATTATCATTAACTGGACCTGCTAAGCAGAGGGTTGCTTTTTTGTAATTAAAATAAATATATATAATCTGGGGGTATGCAAGTGAGGTTTTAGATAATTTACAATAATAAAAATGGGATTTGAAACATTGTGGATATCCCAATAAATCCATAAGTCTTTATAAAGAAGCCAAAACAACAACAGGGAGAAGGAAATGTCCCACTATATCATTAGCTGGACCTGCTTGCCCTTTAGAAGATTTTTAGAAGTCCTTTTGTAAGATAACGAGTTATGTCTGCTGTCTACAGAGTGCCGCATGGTCATGCTCTTTGACCGGGTTCAGAACAAAGCGAGCGTTCGTCGTCTGTCCAACTTTGAAGGGCGAAAGAGGTAAAAAGATTCTGAAAAATTAAGCAATTTGCTGAATTGTCTCCTCTTCACCATTCTTGTCTGTCCATGTGTTATGTTTTCCATTTTGGATTTGCTTCCGCATACAATATTGCTTTTAATTTATTTGACTTTTATTGTATTAAAGGCTTTCATGTGGTAGTCCGCTTATTTCTGCCTGTAATGACTTCACAGTCTCTTTCCTCTCTAGTGGAAGAGACCTCACCCTGGAGAAACCCTTGGAGACTGCCCTCTTGTTAAGTTTAGGTGGCGTTGGTTGCATTCTCCTCAACCAGTGGCACAGCAGCCTTCAACAGAACGCACTTCATGTTGCCACAGTGCTCCATGGTAGGTTGTTTTAAACAATTCATTTTCCGAACATTTCATTTGTCACTTTAGCATTCTGAAACTGACTACACTAATGAAGGTTTATATGGGACAGGACAGCATAGCCATATTATGATAAATGTATAGAGCTGTAAGATGGGAATCTAAACTTTTTATTATTTTAGTCTTTTTATTATTACAAATACAAGATGTCAAATGATCAAGCTGTTTTGAGAAGCATGGGTTCAATTTGAATTCCAATTACACTGTTTGGAGATTACAAGAAAATTGATTTGATTGTTCAATTAATTAGGTCAGTCTACAACAAGTCAGTGGTTGATTTATGATGAAATAAAAAAATTGAGACCATCAGAGACTAATATTGTTTAATCACTCTGAAAGACTTTCTGAGAAAAGAACATTTCCAAACAGAATGTCATCTTGAAATTCAAGATTGTAATATCTACAATACATCATATCTTAAAAATTCTAAGAAAATCCAGGATAAAGGCATAGGACAAAAATGAATTCCTATATTCGATAGAAAGTGGTTGCCACTAAAGTTCAAACAATTTGTAGGCACAATCCTCTTTGAACAGATACAGAAAGAAGTTCAAACTCTCCGATGTACAGTATAAAAATAGATCGAATGTTAGACATCTGTGAATGGGCTCAACAAATGGTGCCATCAGGACCAGTGTTTCACATGTTCGTAACTGTATGACTTTGTGGGAAGGGAAAAGGAATAGCTTAACAAAGTCAACACAGCAAGCGTTTCCTTTTATCATCTGGCTAAAACTAAAAGCTGTACATGGTTACAATGTGTACAACTGTGGCTGTAAATGGGTGTTTTTTCAGGATCATTTGGTGCTCCTCCATGTGTAATATACAAAGTCTATAGTTTGAAAGGAGCAGCCTTTAAAAAGGATTTATTCTACTTTGATTCGTTTTGTTTTTTTGTTGTAGTTGTATTTTTTAAGTTTAGTTTTACATTCAGCTTGCCTATTGCTGTAGGTATACTAAAGGACCGAGAGACCTGCGGCCACACAGTCCATGCACTGAGAAGAGAGGACAGCTCAGAGATGCAGCGTCCCTTGGTCACAGCGTCATATGGTACTTTACATTCTGCTCACAACCACACTCAGCCTCACGGCCATTTCTTCATTTGTAAATGCAGTCAGTCTGGGTGTATTACACCCAGATAACTTTGTGTACATATATATATATACATATGTATGTATGCGATGATTGTGAATCAGACACTTTTTTTACACCAGTGGAAACTTGTGGAAACGTACACATAGTTAAACTCAGATAATCGTCATTCCAACTTTGTCTGCAGACCGAGGGCATCTCACCAACACAGAGGAAGGCGAGGGTTCATATGAGAAGGCTCTCCCACCATCAGCCTTCAACTGCGTTCTTTATGGGCTTCCGAACTTAATCGTCCGTTGATATACTGCTCTGCCTTCTTCATCTTTCATTCATTTATGGCTTCAGGTGTATTAAAAGCAGTAATGACTGTACTGCTGCAAGGAAAAAGTCAAATATATGAACTAAATCCTGTTATTGTTTTGGGTGAGGGTACTAAGATCCTGTTCAGGCTACGATTTGTTTAACATGCTACCCATACATGGTACCCGTATGACCATGCTCTACCAGATAACTGCCAACTCATTTGAGGTTAGTAAATGAAGATATAATAAGCCCTTTGATCATACTTCCCACATTGATAACCAAATAAATTATTTCATTGAGACTTTCTGCTGTCTTCAAACATCACTTTAAAGAATTGTAAGCACCAGTTTCGAAAATATACCCTACAACTCAGCCTTTGTACATGGTTTGCCTTGGTTGCTCTTTAATTTACTTCAGCGCGGAGAGGCTAAATTTATCCATTCATGAAAAAAAAGGTTTAGAGTAAATATTATTGTATTTCCAAATGTTAATTTAGAGAATGCCTTCGTCAGACAGTTATCAGGCATATGTAAATTTTGTCAATCTTCGTCAAAAGTAAATATACTCCTCATTAAAACAACATTCTCTCTGTATGAGCCGCTTGCCAAGATGTTTAAAGGGTGCCATTTACTTTGCTCCAATTAAGCTGAATTTACATTTAAGAGAGCGCGAGAAGAAGTAATTCCTGCCACTTTGATGCTTTATTCTCATAATGATGTGAGTGAGTAAGCCACTTAGGGGAGAGGTCACAGTATGAGTAGATTGGGGATTGGAGAAATAATCATATTTACGTTTGTGCCTGGAGTAAATTAAGCAGATTATTACCGCTCTGAAATATACACAGTGGCAGTTATTAAGCTACCGCTAACAACCATTTATTATAGAGAAGAAAATATTCAGCAAAGGGGGGGGGGGGGGTAATCCGGATTATTCAAAAAGTGTTTCCTGATCAAACCATATTCTCCATGTTGGCTGTCTCCCTCCAGCTTTTGCCCCGACCTCATGCTAAATGACTGGAGCTCTTACCTCAAATGCTCATTTTCCCTCGACTTTCCACAAATATCTCTTTTGCATATTCAGTAATGGACAAGAATGGCTTTGCAAGCTTACCAGAGGGCTGGAACTCCAGGGTCGCACACGGACAAAGGTTGACAGGGTCCGAGGGTCAATTTTACAACACCAGTTATGCTAATGTTCTTGTTTTAGACAGTGGAAGAAAGCCAGAATACCTCGACCGGACCAAATCTGTACAGAAGGAGCCCTAACCCCCACTGCCCGTGACCTGTTCAAGAGAATTTCATTGAGAATTTCACAATATTTGTGATGCTACATGACATCAGGAGCGACCATCTGTAATACACTACAACCTAAGTATTAAATATAAAGTTTTACAGGAGTATGCATCTCATTACGTACAGTAAATCTTATTAAAGGGCTCGGAGTTGAGATACGGCTATGGTTCCTTTCCCTACACACTCCTGCCTTAATGCTAGAATCAGTTTTGTTTTTGTCTTTCATCAGTTGAGACCATTTTTTACACCTGCATTCCATTCTGATAGGTCCATTCAAACCAACTCCACAAAAAAATTTTCATATCTATAACGTCCCTAATTTAGCATAATTCTGAAGCCTTTTCATACCTGAAAAATGAGAAAATTTAGATCCTACCTCAGTGTTATGTGAAGGTTTGCAACGTGTGTTACGACAGTAAAACTCAGATAAACGCTAACATTTCCGAAATAATTGTTTTAGCTCATGATGCTTTTTATCTGATGACATTCAGAATCATTATCCTTGTGAGGCTTTTTTATACCCCCCCATACCCCCTCCTTCCTCTCAGAAACAGCTGGGGTTTTTTTGTATCTGGGTCTTTTCATCTTGGGACAACTTAACTTTTCCAGACAACCTTTTTTTCTGGAAACCAGCACGTGTGTCACTGTGTCACACATGTAGCTTATGTGGAGAGTTCTTGCAGCAATATCTAAACTGCTTTAACATTCTAACGTTAACCAGCAGGGAGATGTTGGTTGACCTTTATTTGCACTGTATGTATGTAAGTAGGTCAGAGAGCGCACTCCTCACCGTGCAGCAGATTTATCATGCAGACATGGCAGCTGAAACTGGAGGGAAGAAGGTAAAGGACCAGGAAATAGAATTTAGAGTCATTTGTGGGATATGAAAAGGAGATAAAAATCTATCAGCTCTGTCTCGAATGTAAATATTGGCATATCGTAGGGTTTTTATTTAGTGCTTCCTGAAAAAGCAAGGAAAAAGGGAGAGGTAGAGTTGTTTTTTTTCTTCAAATACTTTGTGAGTAGAACTATGAGAGTACTATTAAAAATGATATGTGGCACGGGGGGGGGAAAAAAAATCACAGAAAGGAGAGAAAATGTTTATTTCAAAAGGAAAAAAATGTTTATTTCAAAACTGAGCTCTGCACATAAGCTACATGTGTGACACAGATTGCGTGCTGGTTTAGAGACTAAAGTGCTTTTCATTATAAAAAGTTAAATAGGACAAATTCATTTGAACTAGTTATAACAGCTTGGATATATTTTTTTCAACATCTTTTTTTTTTTTTTTTTTTTAGTACCAGGACAGCTGTTTTCCATCCAACGATTTCTTCATCTAAAATTCCTTCTAAATCCAAGTAACTGAAAATAGTAGCAAGCTGTCAGTATGCAGGTCCCAGTAAAGGAAAAGAGAGCCAATTCAAGAAGGATCAGATGAGATTTCCAGTCTTTTCGAAGTGTTAATTAACTGTAAGTTTAGTGTTGACTGTTAGCGGTTGATGTGGTCCAAACCAGAGACTTAGATTTTATTTCAAATGCAATTAAAGGATTGTCCATTAAAGCAATAGAAAGGTTTTCTTCCTTTTTTTTTTGTTTTGTATCGCAGTTACTGTCCAAGAACAAAACGATTCGATACACCCAATTTCTTGGTCTTCATTGCTCTAAATATGTTTCAGTTATTGTTTTCTTTGTGTTCTTGAGATAGATCAACTCACACTTCTTCGCTTTCATGACTGGCTGATTGACAGTTGCTATGTAAAAGTTATGCAGGCTTTTCAGAGGAATTCCAGATAAGAGATTAAAGTGATAAACGCCATATTTAAACACCACCCTTGCTGTCAGTGAATTCTAACTTGATTGACACTATCCCAGCAGCGTTAAAAATGTATAAACACTCTGAGCTCGATCTGCAAGTGCTTGGTGGTGATTGTAGAGTCAGGTCGGACCTATTTTTAACAGTCCATGTATTCAGAGGTGTTACTGAGTACAACCTACTAAAATCACATTGCTAATACTCTGAACAGAACATCCTTTACAATGAAAACTGCCCGTTATGGCGCCTATACAATAACATTTACATGGATCTATGTCAGTGTGGCCCTGTATACACCCTGGTGAAGCCTGCCTCTCGCCCATTATATAGAATACTAGCTGACTACTAATGTTTTTTATCATTAAAAATTCACTAGCACTTATATTTGGATATGGAAAAAGTTACTTGCGTTCCAACTTTTATAAACTTTTGCTTTTACAGATAAAATGCCAGAATCTAGGACCATTTAAGCAATTCAGCTCCCAGTTCCACAGATCCTGCCATGTAATTGTGCTTTGCTTCTTCTTGAGAGCTATGTCAGAAAATAGTTGTTTGTTTTATTAGCAGATCTTAATATAGCAAAGTTTAAAACACCAAGAAGTGGAACTTTCATGTATAGTGTGACGACAACTACTGTTTTTGCTACTTTATTTCCAATGCATGTCATACAGTATTTTGCCACAGGCAGGTATAATTTTTTAATCTAAATTTACAGTGCTTGTTTAATTTTTTATTCTATTATTAACGTCAGGTTACATGTTAATAAGTATGTAAACAATCCTCACTTGTCTTTTTGTATAGGCTAAGCTAAAAGCAATGTCTCATCAAGATTTGTTCTGAAAGCAAGGCTAACCAATGTGGCCCTTTAAAGAATCTAATTAACATCTGCTCTTTTGTTCAGGTCCTGTGCTGCCTTCTTACTAACCATATGTTAGTTAGGCTTCATTTCACAGATTCCTTAAAGCTCGCTCTTTTGCACGGAGGGCAAGTGCCTTGTCAAAACCTACACATGGAACAAGGCAAGTTTGTTTGTAAGGCACATTTCGCTGTAGGAGAGTGGCAAACTTACCCCCAAAAAGCTCAGAATCTAGATATCTGAGCATCTGCCTTGCAGTTGAAGTAGAGAGAGGCAATACACAACCTGTAGATCCAAGATGCCTCCAGCACAATAAAGAGGAAGGCAGACATTCTTCAACCCATAAACCTATAGGGTTCGGGTTCGTTTTGTCTAATGGTAAGTAGAGGTCTTGCAAGAGATCTATAACATTATGTTTGTTAAAGGTAGACAACGACCGCCTCTCATAAAGGGTTTACTCCAAAGTTTATTACATTAAAGTTCAGCCTCTCTCCAGTGAATTGGTTCTAGAACCGCCTCTATGCGTTGAATGTAGACTATCTATCAAGCATAACTCAACGCATCTCCTGCACAAGGTTGGGCTTCCTGCCCACCAGTCAAGCAATGCCTTACATCTGTTTTTAGCGCTTGGACAATTAACTCAGAAAACAATCTACAAAGCTCTTTCCCAACAGTGCCTCCTGCTGGCGGTGCATCCAAAAGAGGGAAGTCCAGTTTTTCCAGTCCATACCCCGCCTGTCCCCCAAGCCCTGCTAATAGGACAAGTTACTGACCACCCATCATGGAAAGGTATCCACTGCAGCATGCTGTTATTAGGTCTGTCAGTAAGTTAATCCACCTTAGACTTGACCCCTTTAGATGACACTTTCAGGGAAATTCAAGAAAGACTGCTCCAGGTGAGGCTCGAACTCACAACCTACAGTTTACTGTGGTGCACTGGTCATTGCACCACTGTAGTTCTCTATCGACACCTGGACATTGTACTTCTCCAAAGATTAGAGGCTTCCATAACCTTCTACTTTGTCCTCACAAGTAGTAGTCCTTCAATTGGGTCGTTATGAATATTACCTTTCCTCTTCATCAGCACACTTATTTCACATATTCTTGTGAGATACATCTTACATTTTCTGGTCATTTGTTGGGTTACATAATCTATTTTATTTATTCAATTATTCACAAGGATTGGACAAATTTAAAATGGAGCCCGAGATTATCACATGATTTTCGTGTATGATGAAATTTTTGCTCTTGATCAAACTGATTTCCTTATTGAATGATGCTGACCGCGGATCTAACTACTTCCGTTCCCTTTTGTCAGCATCTGTCTGGCAACTTATTCCAAATAACCTCAATAGGCTGATTTACAATAGCTCGGTGTCTTTCATGCATGCATACAAGTTGAGGTGGAATATCTGCACCTATCACAGTGTGTA